TTTCTACTGCAATAAGAATTAGTGCTATAAAGTCTAACCTTGGTGTTTGGGAATATCTCAACCTACTGAAATCTCTTGTTAGGCTGAGGAATAGTCTGTCTTATTATAGGGAAAGAAAGTTAAAATATCTGGAGAGGAATGGGCAAAACAGACAGCAACAATTTCTCTGAGCCAAGAGAGGTTTAAGATGTGATTGAACACATTGCCAATGTATTTTGAGGTTAAGATGTTCTCTCACTAACAAAAGTTAAAGAAACGATCTTTACTGTTTTGATTAGGAACATCTGTCTATGTTTACATTAGGCCAAATCAAGTTGGAAAATATCAAAGGAAAGAAATACAAGAAAACTTAATTATATTTGCATCTTACTCCCATCACCAAGTGTGATGAGACCCAAAAGCTATACAGCTTCTTGTGTTATACAACTCTTGCTATGGAAAGCATGAAGCCAACAGAGATGGAGCAATTTAGATCTGACCATCATGGAAATACATCAGACAAGGGGGATATTTTTCTAGGTAGAATACCCAACAAGAAAAGGCTAGAAGTCTCCATCATAAAAACACCCTATAAAACTTGATCATAGGGGTAAACAAAAGAAGCCACACACAAATGGAGAGATCTTAATGAAGCCAAAAGTCCTAGAAATGGTCATGTGTCACGTGACTTAGTGCAAAAGAAGAAAACTAAAATGACGTCTTTCTTTAAAAATCCAGAATTTCATTTCTTTTTAATACTTTAAAGGAAGTCACAAGGAATTGGTAGCTTTGTTATTTCATTTCTCAATATAATTATTTGGCAACTCTTTGTAAATGTTATTGACTGAATGTGTTCTCTCAAAATTCATCTGCTGAAACCTAAATCCCAGTGTGATGGTATTAAGAAGGTCTTTTGAAGGGTGGTTAGTTTATGAAAGTAGATCCCTCTGTTACTGGGATTAGTGCCTTTAGGAATGAAGAAATCAGAAAAGAGATCAGCCATAAAAAGATACAGGAAGAAGACATCTTTTCTGAGCCAAGAAAGAGGCCCTCACTAGAAACTAAATTTGCTGGTGATTTCTCATCAGACTTCTCAGTCTTCAGAACTCTAAGAAATAATTTTCTGTAGTTTATAAAGTAACTAGTTTTGGCATATCAGCCCAAACAGATTTCATAACTCATTCATTTTGTACAACTATATATTGGCAACTATAATCCAATTCCTATCATACTTGTAGAGAATACAGTTTAATAAGTCAGGTCACTATTCCCCTGGAGCTCTCATTCTAGAAATGGGGAAAAAAATCAACCAGTAAACAAATAAGAAAGAAATTGTTAATGATAAAAGCCATGACAAAAATACATGTAAAAGAGAGCAAATGGAATGGAAAGATCTCTCTGAGATGTTAACATTTAACCTAAAACCTAAATCATCAAAGGAGGCACTCATGGCAGGGCTGTAATCCTAGCTACTTGGGAGGCAGAGATCAGGAAGATCATGGTTTGAGGCCACACTGGGTAAAAAGTTAGCAAGACTCCATTTCATCCAATAAAAGTGGGTCAGTGGTACACTCCTGTCATCCTAGCTATGTGTGAAGTATAAACAGGAGGATTGCAGTTCAAGCTGGTCTGGATAGAAATGCAAGACCCTATTTGCAAAATACCTACAGTAAGAAGGGCTAGAGATTTGGCTAAAGTGGTAGATCATCTACCTGGCAAGCATAAGATCCTGATTTCAAACCCCAGTACTGCTAAAAAAAAAAAAAAAATGAAGAAGGCATTCACTCAAAACTCTGGGTGTAGAGTGTTCTAGGTAAACTGACACCATTGGAGATGAACTTCAAGTCTACAGCTACTTTTGAAAATTATAAGTTATCAATACCTTTGAAATTTTCTTTGGCAAAGGAAACTTCAAATGTATTAGAAATCTTGAGCCTGAGATCATAGAAGGGGCAAGTGTTACACTTGGTGGTGTATCTCATTGTGCTATTCTGGTTGATTATTGCTATCTCCTGTTTCTTCCATCAATGACATATAAAAATGACAGACTATTCCAGCAATTCTGAAAGAAATCTACTCCAAGAGAATGCAAACTGTGACCTTTTAACAAGAGGCCTAATTAAGAAATAGGAGAAAAATTTTTTTTTTAAATTCTATACAAACTAGAATATGACTGACATTCCAATGACCAAATTTTGAGGTGCTTATTTGGCATTTAAACCAATGATTTCATTTCAAGAAATGAAATGAAAGAAAACACACTTAGAATATTAGAGCTATGGATGTTCTACTGCTATTACATGTTGTGGGCTATGTGAATACAAAAAAATCTTTCCATTAAAGGTAGTCAGTTGCCAGGATGAATATTGCTAAAAAATACAGTCTCAAGGCAGACAATCTATTACTTTAAGAAACTCTTGCACAATGAAGTAGAAGGTGGCAAAGCATGACAATTACTCCACCGCAAAAAAATATATAGAATGACTAAGAAAATCTCAAAATTGGGGCATGACACCTAATCTACACTCTATAAGCTACATTAATATTGTAGATCTCATTAACTTGAAGATAGTATGACTTCCTAACTTTGACTAGCAAACAACAGAATGCTCTGATTCTATTGCTTACTATATTTGTGAATTAGAATCTAAGGCCCTTGTTGTCTCAAAAAGAAAAAGTTAATCAACTTAGGTTGCCCCTTCCCTAAAGGGAAGGAATAATAGTGTGATAGTTAAACCACAAATGCTGAAGTCAGAATGATCTAGGTTCAAATTCAGACCCAGTATTTTCTAGCTATATAAGTAGGAACATGTCTTCTGAGCTTCAACTTCCCCATTTGTAACATAGATAAAATACTACCTGCTTCAAGGTTGTTATGAGAATTAAATAAGATAAAGCACATGAAGTTTTTAGCATGGCATCTAGAACATAGTAAGAATTTTTGAAATTGTAGGTCTCATAAAAAAATTAAATGAGTAAAGAATCCACATATGTCATCTCAATGTTCCCATTACATTCAAATAACAGCAACTTTTCATTAAAATTAACTCAGAGAAGAATTTGGAGGGTTTTTTTTTCTATTTTTCACAAAGAGACCATCACTTTTTCACAAAAAATAAAAATGAGATGTAATTTATATATCTTATTAAGGTTGACAAAATGAATTTTAAATGTGTATGCATATTTTTTATAAATAAGACATTCATAGTTTTAATCAGTTTCTTAGAGATATGCGTGGCCTCTCTGCTCATTGAAGAAAATAAATTTAAGAACAATTTTTCCTATATATTGAAGTAAGGGAACCAAAGCAAAAACATTCAGTAATTAGGTGAAATAATATGGGTGGAATGATTAGGATGGAAAGAGTAGGCGAGAGGAAGTGAGTGGAAAGGAATGAAGTGAAACAGAACTGAATTTACCAACTAAAGCACTCTGAATAAAATTTACAAGGCAAACAGCAATAACAAATAGTACCAGTCTTTCAATTCTTTTCTTTAGGTGATAGTGATTAGCTTCTCCTTTTCCACTGGGATTACCCCAAAGCTGTGGGATATCCCTTATATAAAGAGCCAATTCAAAAATTCAGAACAAGGAAAAATTTGGTCTTTCTGAGGAGCAGGTATGCTACTACTTTGAAAGAAATGGAACATTTGTTGACTATTCTTCCTTTAAGGGTTTTAGCCCTTAAGCAGCTCAGGAGTATGTTTTGTACTTATGTTAAGCAGTTCTTCATAAGCCTTTGACTTTTATATAGTTTCTGTCTCCCACTCTGTGCTCTTCCTTATGTTGTTTTTACACTTTGATCCTTTTTTTAAATGACTCTATTATAACTGTGTCCTTTATAAGACAAAGAGTTCCCTTTAAAAATAGATGTCATAAAAATACAAGAAGGAGAGGAGGAAGAGACTTCTTAAGTGAATACCTTTAAATGAGGTCCTACAAATTTAACAAGCTTAACAGGGAGAAAAATTCTGGTCCATAGTTTTTTGGGTTTTTTAAAAACCCAAATGAAACTACTTTACAAACCTTAAGCACACAAAAATATGTTTCCTTCAAATTTAAATTTTGTTTTTGTTCTGATAATGTTCTTATTCTAGATCTCTAAATGGTACTAATACAGAATTCTCTAAATCTTTGGGGCTGGACAAATGCAGATCTACTTCTCACCACCACTTCACTAGCAGCCAACAGTTGACTCATTTTGCTCTCAGCTGGAGATCTTTGCAGCCAGACCCTGCTTTTCTACAGCCTTTATCTGCTCTGAGGGCAGACTGCCCCTAATTACCTCTATTTACACAGTTTCTTTAGAAATGTTCTCTGCTTTTTATAAAAAGTAGCCCGTTCCCTATATCTAACTTTGAATCTCTCTGTGGAGAACCTGTACAGCCCAAGGGAACCAGCATTAGGATCTTTGAAAGTCTCTGTTGAGTTCCCAGGCTTTCCTTTAGCATCATTGTTTTACACTTACTGTAACCACATCAACTCTGGCACACAGTAGGGGACTAAACATATATGCTGAATAACCAGGTATTTAACTTCTTAGTAGTTTTCCACACCTGGAAAGGGGAAGCTTTGTATGCAAACCATAAGGTTATCTTACAACTCTAGTGATAACTTTTCTAAAATTCCTTCTTGAAATGAAATTCCATTCTGCATGTTTGATTGCAAGTCTGTACCCATAACTTATTTACCCTTCTTGAATTTAGCTAGCCCAAACACAATGTTATTGATAACTTTATTTATTACTCATGCTATCAATTCAGTCAGGAGTTAAAAGAAGTCAATTCAAACAATTTTCACACACACACATTTACATGTATGAATATATACATCTTCCTATTATACCCATCAGTTGGCTCTTGTCTTATATTTCATAAATGGCCTTGTAGTGACCACCCTAATCCTGGACAAGGTACTTTCCAGCACTGGTGCATGAGGTGGTAAGGAAAGAGGTTCAGTGCCTTCTCTCTCCGCCCCCCTCTCTCTTTCTCTCCGAGTTAAACATAACAGGGTGACATTACCTCTCTGGATCCTTATCACTATCCTCCAAATGCCCAGTCCCAAAACGATGGCCATCAGCAGCCCACACACAGTGGTCAGCAGCACTCTGAGGTTACGCATGTGGCAGGAAGGCATGGTGAAACCAAATAGCAAATCCAATACTCGGTGAAAAACTTCTTATGCCAAGAAGTTTAATTAGAAACTATTCTAAAATATAAAAATAATTCCTCTTTTCAGTGATCTATAAGGCAGGTATTCTCATATTTTAGGACTCTTGAGATTAATTCAGCAAGACGCAGTTCAAATCATCTAATAAAAGGCACATACTCTGCCTGTAATGTCTTCATCCTTCACTAAGGAGAACATGAAAAAAGTGACTAGTGTTATAGGAAAAGATAGATTAGAGCAATAAAGAAGGGGAGGGACTAGCTTAGAGGGTCAAAGGGTGAATTTCCAGACATGTAAGAGAATGGAGGACAGGAACATACAGCAAAAACCAGAGCAGGAGTCAGGAGGGCAGTGAATCCTGTCACCTACAGCTCAGTTTCCTATGCTTTGGTTTCAGGAAGGTCCAGCAGAAGCAGAGAAGCAGTGCTTTGGGCCATGCAAACATGCTCTTGGGGAAATGAAGAATGTTGTCAATGAGAGAACAAACAGCAAAGCCACACATGATTCTAGTGCTTGCATTTCCTTAAGGAGCCTACATTTTGACAGCTGCAGTAGGTAAATGAATGTACTGGCTTGGGGTGGGTTTTGAAAAAGCACTAAAAGCCTATTGTTACAACTGTCATGGGCTGAATGTGCCCCTCTTCATATGTTATAGCCCACAATGTGACGTTATTTTCAGATAAGTTATTATTAGAAATAATCAAGTAAAAATGAGGTAATTAGGATGGGTCTCAATGAAATCTTTATGAGAGAAATTTGGACATAGACACACATAGAGCAAAATGTATGAAGAGACACAGGCTATTGAAGTGGTCAAGTGATAGAGTGCCTGCCTAGCAGCCCCTGAGTTCAAACCCCAGTGCTGCCAAAAAAGAAAGAGAAGACAGCCATCTACCAGCCAGGAGAGAGACTTGGAACATATCCTACCCTCAGTATCCTCATAAGGAACCAATCCCCCTGATCCCTTGATTTTGGACTTTGAGCCTCCAGACCTGGGAGATAATAAATTTCTGTTGTTTAAATCACCCTGTTTATAGTGCTGTGATACAGCAGAACTGGAAATGAAATATTCTGTATGAGTTCCTATAACCTGGTGTTTCTCTGGAAATTTCAGCTCTGACTTCTCTGTCCAGGATCCCACCTTCTTCCTTATCCTTTCTCCATCCTTGAATGAATGAAAGATTGAATGAGCACTCACCTCCTCAGAGCTCTGTTTCAGGTGATGGAACACAGTTCTGAATGTTCCCCTGTTTTATCAAACCCATTATTTGTGCCTTCTATATGTCAGAATTGTTATAAGACATAGGTCCTCAAAGAACTCATATTCTCTCAGGAATGAAATACAAGGATGTAACTCCTAATAACACAATCAGTAACTATTAAGATGAAGGATAATAGAATTTAATTACTGTAGAATACATGGGGACAATAATTCTCTCAGGGAGTGTTAAGCAAGGTTTTGCAAAATAAGTTTCTAACTCAACTGATCGTTTGTTTATCCCTCAAACTGTATATTTTTCTCAATCCTTGACAATACTCACTTTATCAAAGTACAGTTTTAGAAGACATGAGCATAAAATCTCATTGTCTCATTGTAGGATTTCAGGAAAACACATTAATGTACTATAAAATGGAAGAATTTAGAAATACTTCTGCAGAAGTACAAAATAAATGACTGTGACTCCATTATCTCATTTATTTTTCTTATATTCACACACACATATATAAACATATATATTTACGTGATATACAAAGATGTCTGGATGGATACATAAAAATTCTTCATGGAAATCTGTGAGATCTGAGGTAGAAAAAACTTCAAAAAATTTACACACTTTCTATGATTTGAAGTTTTCACCTTGTATTCATTTTAATTATAATAACTTATTTTTTAAATATTAAAAATAGCAGTTTTCAGTAAATAAGAAATCTAAGAAAAGGAATTAACACTTGCTAAACACCTAGAATATACTAAGCACCGTGTTGCACATTTATATGTATTTATCTCATTTATTCCACATGTCATTTTTTTTGCCCACTGCATAAATAAGTTAATGAGGCTATAGCAAATATTACTATAAACAGAAGCTGATAGTTAAAGAAATTTGGACAAACCAGTTTACACAAACTTAACCAGTTTTCTTCTCTATAGGATTTTTTAGAAACTTCTGTATGGACTTGTGACTTGTGAACTGCCACTATTCCAATGATATTTTGACCACTGAATTCTTAAGAAGAATCTCTCAGAGATAGCATTCTTCAGAATATGCCTTGAAAACACTGCACAATGGTCTTCTCTGAGCAGAATAATTACAGGAATTTATTGTAAGACCCATGTTTTCCCTATTGGGATGGTGTTTTTCTTTTGCAGGGTACCAAATGTTTTGAAGGGTATATAGTCCAGTGAGTAGAAAATTGACTTTGATGGTGCCTGGACATTCTCTTTTCCCAGTGGAATTGCTAGGATCCTGGGATGCTGCAATGCCATAGCTTCTTAGGGCTTTCATGTCTTCAGTTACATTACTACAGTTATAAGGCTTGCCACCTATTTGCTAAGAATCCTAGAAATTGATGGAATGGAAAAATTCTTAGGTACAGTGATTCAGATGTTTACATTTACATAAAGGAATGAAAATGGTATTGATTATGAACAAACGTATAAAATGGTCACTGATATTATTGGATATGAAGTGGTTTCCCCAAAAGCTCATTTATTGAAAGGTTGGCCCCCAGCTAATGGTGCTATTTGGGGAGGTTCTGAAAACTCTGGGAGGTGAGGCCTACCTGGGAGAAGTAGGTCACTGAAGGGTGAGTTATAGGGACTGTATTTTGTCCCGGGCTCCTCTCTGTCTTTCTCTGTTTCCTGTCTGCCATGAGGTGAAAAGCCTCCTCTGCCACATGCTCCTACTGCCATGATGTTCTACCCAAGTGCATGGGGCCAACCATCCATAAACTAAGCTCCCAAAACCCATGAACCAAAGCAAGTCTTTCCTTCTTTAAGTTTTGTTTGGCAGGTATTTTGTCACAGTGATGCAAAAGTTGACAGTGTCACACAGTCAACAATTTATACACATACACACAAACACAGACACACAAACACTCACATCAAGATGACAAAAAAGACAAGAAGAAACTAATCAGGGAATAGTTTATTCATTCATTCTATTAAAACAAACATTGTGATAGGCATAGTGATAAAATGAATCAGAAAGACTCAAGGACAAGGTCCTTGTCCTCATATACACTCGAGAAGACTTGGTTTTCAACTGATGCTGCCACTAATTTTCTCTGTGACCCTAGACAAACCATGTAAGAAGCTAAGTCTCCATTTATTCATATTTGAAATATAGCCTACTTTCCTTCCTGAGCATGTCAGTCCTAAAGTAATTATTTTAGGAAGGCAGGTGTCTCTGGTGTGGGTAAAGAGGTACAGTGGCCGAGAGTGGGTGTCAGAGAACAGGTAGATAAACAGGGTATTTCAAAGAGGAGAAAAGCATGGGATATCAGATCCCAATGAGGATGAAGAGGCCGTCTATATGATGAGGAGGGGTGAGCTGGCAGGGAGTTTTAGAGCCAAGTAGGCCAGAAGATCATACAGGTGAGAGATAGCCAAATGGGATAAATCAAAACCAGACAAGAAGAGGAGAAAACTTCAAAGACCAAGAGCAATCAGAAGAACGTCTTCACAGGTGGGCTCACTGAGCTTGGAAGTCAGAGCCAGAGTTGAATGAGGTGGGGGTCCACATGGGTTGGAACCCTTAAATAGGAAGACAGAGCCCAAGTTCTCAAAGGATAGAAGGCTGTCCACACATGTGGAGAAGATCAGAGATTGGTTACTTACAGGATGATAGATCAATAGGTAAACACATAATAATGGAAGCCAAGTTTCTTACTCTTGGAGAAGATAGTTAAATATGGAAATGGCAAAAACTTGAATTCCATGAAATTTCAAAAAAGAATAAGAAATATGGAGAAAGAAAAGCTACATGCTATTAATTCTGAAGGAAGTAATATCCTCTAGGTAAGATGGCTGTGTGATAGCTGTGTAAATAAAACTGGGAAACTCCTATCCAAATAAGAAAAACTATTATGATTACTACTGAAAAGTCAACTATTTCAAAGGAAGGGATATGATTTTACTTTTTATTTCCAATATTTGAACTAAATAATTTCCATTTCAATAGTGCTATACTGGAATTAGATATACATGACCACATGTATACATTTTATATAAGTATTTCAATATGCATCTAGAAATATATATTTATGTATAAATAGAACAGAAATAAATGTAGATTCAAAAGTACTATACACACGTATATAGTTGTGCATGCTTATAATATATAACACACATTTGTGGGTTTTTTTCTTTTTTTCCTTTATTGTTGTGCTGGGTGGGGGTACATTGTGGCATTTACACAGGTTCTTACCATGTATCAAATATATCATACATGAATTCACCCCCCTCTACCATTCTCCTTTATCCCCATCTTCCCCGATTCCGGGAGAAGTTTCAACAGGTATCATTTTTGCATTTATATACATGTGTACACATTTTTGCACTGTATTCACCCTCCTACTCCCTTTCCCTGACACCTCCCTCTCCCATTAGTACCAACCCTGCCCCCCCAGGCCGGACTTGTTCTGCCATCCTGTACTCCAATTTTGTAAAAGAGAAAAGAAAACAAAAAACATGACATTTTAGCTTGTTTGAGCTAAAGATAGCTACACAGGGAATTTCCTTGTGATATTTCCATGTATATATGTATTATAACCCCAATTGGCTTATCTCCACTGATTTTCTTCATTGTACCTTAGTAGTTTCAGTTGGTTTAAGATTTCTATATTAATTCTTGTGTAGACAATATATCAACCATATTCAAGTTCTTAGATTCCCTACTCCTCCCATGAGTGACCTCCTTTAAGATACACCACACATTTGTATACATATATTTTCTAGCTCTGTC